CCCCCAACCCCACCCCCACCCCACCTCCATGAAACGAGACAAATTGTGCGAGCAACTTTGGTGGAATGAAATTTCTTCTTCACGTTTAGTAAATTTATGTCAATTGCCTGATGAATTACCAGTCCAAATATTCAGTGAAATATTTTCAATGGATTTTAGCTGTATCATATGAAGTCGTTAGTTTGTTTTGGTTTATGATCAAGCCGAGTATGGAATCTGTATCATACGCAAAAGAAACTCACTTGGGTCTTTACAATGAATACACATAATATCATTGTAAGCCGGCTAGGTATCTTCATGCACAAACCCGTTCAAAGTGGGCTTAAGTTCACAGTATTTTTACCATCAAAGTTAAAAACCACATTTTTGTTTCAAATTATAGTGCGACAGTACAACGAATAAATCCTATAATCTTGTACACCTACGATGTAATCATGTGAATCGGCCATCTAAGTCTCAGGATTAGAAGCGGCGAATCGCACAATGCCCCATGAGATTAGCCCCAGATGGCAGAAAAGCTACCCACACCACGTCTGCGTCCATGCTACCGCATGAGACGAAACTCGCTGTTCTGTAGTAACAGATACGAAAATAGTCGGATGTCGAAAAATGCAGCGTTCTAAAATTAGTCATAGGTTGCACGGAAACATTTGCAAATGTAGGGAATTCTCTTTTTCATATATGTATATAACAGCAAGCATACATACATATATTTTGGGAATAATTCACAGCTTATTCAACGTGTTAAAGTTTGTAGGTCAATGTTCGTGTGTGTGGGTCACATGAACGATAGTTGCTTGTGTATTCTGTAGTCCTTCTTATTAAACCTTTGGTGTAAATCTGCCAAGTTGTGTATAAGGCAGTGAGTGCCATCGAAGAGTCGTTTTTCTGGCTACAGCCGGATGCGTGTGTATCTGAATGATGCTTGGCATGCTCCCAACTAAGGCGCATTCTTTTGTCCTACATCATTTTACGTGTACTTACTTGTAGTAGTGCTCGCAACATCAGATGTACAAAGCTATGCTTTCGTCTAACTGGGTACCAAATATTTAATTGCTCTAGGCAAGCAAACATTGTGGGGTACACAAGTTTGTATTCCGTAACACAAACCGAAAGCTGACACACGATTGCCTTGGCTTTCATTAAGCTAAAGATTTACAAAAAGGTTATGTAGGCGAAAGCTGCCAACAATGGAACCCTGATCACGTACACATACGGATTCCAGATTGTACAGGTTATGCAAGCCGCATAAACTGATTGAGCCCCCGGGGTTATCCTATCCGTAAGAAGCCTGATAAAAAGAACGTTCTGTTTGTTGAACCATTTCCCATACCTCAGATACCGTTTCACGCTTTTTCTGTTCACTGACAATTCACGTCTTGCTTGAATATTTACTGATTGCATTTAGCACATTTTTCTCATCGATTGCATATTATATTCTCACCAGAGCACTGTTTGCTATTAACCGGTTGAACAGATTGCATTCAAATTTTCTCGTATCTAATCGCATGATGCCGTGCAATATTTAACTCAGCGTGTCAAAAGCAAAAGTAAATTAGTTTCTTGAAAAATCTAGCTTATTCTGAAAACGCTTTTAATCATTTCACTCACTGTTCTCGTTCTCTCTGTTACTGACGTTTTTCAATCCAAAAACTGCATCAGACCAGAAATACTTAGTATCATGTCATACAAGATTGAATCGCCATTCAGATTAGCAATACAAATCATTAATTAAGAGAGCACGTTATCATTAAACATCTTGAAAATTTGAGCGCGCTTGAAAATGGACTCTTTTGTGCGCAGTGCAAATGAAACGAAAGCGGTAACACTGGCGGACACTTTACACCCGTTCCTTCCCTGTTCCTATCGCACCAGTATTGTGAATTCATCAACTGAACTGAGCATCCAAACTAGGATCTTGAAAGGCCTAACGCAAACCTGATGTCCGACAGTAAACAACGCCACCAGGCTCGACCTGTGACATTTTTGGTCAGTCAGCGCATAGACCTCCACAGCTGGTAAATGCTCAACTTGCCAAAATCCGGATATCTCTTCCAATCTATACCATAAAACTCTTCATCCTTCAGTCCCATCTAAATGCCTAATATTGCAATGTCTAGACCGTTTCCGAACGGAAATATTGTTGGAAAGTAAAAGTAACTAACTAATTTTCCCATCATATAATAAATCACATGGAATTCGATGAATATTAAAGCCATCTCTTAAATAAACTTTTTCGATCAAACTGCCTATGCACGTAAAAGGAAAACGAATTCCCACCGTGCATCAACTCATGTATCCAGATTGATTTGGAAGCCGACGTTTTATCGGTTCAACGCTCTGCAATTAAGCGGTTATATTAGACAGTGGATAAAACTTGTATAAGGATGTCCCTCGTGGTAATGCCACTCTGAATGAAGATCAGTGGTAACACCATCCCAGCAATTCAGGATAAAAAAGTACACTTAATACGTTACACGAGTGGAAGATTCCTAAAACTGTGGTTCCATAGATAACAAAAGTTGAACAATCACATCCTGTTAAGAAACATTGTGATCCATTTCTGTCTGATCTTGCTTGCTGTCGGGGAGCTAAGCTCACCGCGAGACTCCATATTGACATTGTGACGAGGGGAGTAATGATGTAGACAAAAAAAGAACAAAAACATACGTCTCCTTCTCCGTTGTAGTAAGAACTCCTCAAATGATTAAACATTGTCAACATTCTTTGAAGGAGAACATTCGCAAGGTTGAATCAAGCACAAAAATGCGTTAGAGTCTCGAAACAAATGCTTTTTTCAGATCTTTTCATCTGAACTGAATAAAACCAAAACCCAAAAATGATTTATTGGTAGCATAATTTGTGCGTCCAGTCACTAGCCAAATCATACCACACAAATTCTCATTTTATCGATGTCTATCACGAACAGGTGTTGGGAATGAGGAGACGGAATTTCTATAAATGCACACCTCGAGTTTCTTGGGTCTTCAGGAATCATGGCTCAATGAGGATGTGGACGATTCCGTGGTCCGACTGGAGAATTTCGTCTGCTTCAGACAAGATATACAACGGTGGAGGAAGAAGTTGAGAGGTGGTGTGATTACTTACATCAATTACAATTGGTGCAGCAAATCCGAAGAACCTTTTTAGTATTCACAGATTGGCATTGATTGCTTGACTGTCGTCTGTCACCCC